TATGTACATGAGACCAAACGATAAAATGACGAGAAATTCGTTAAAAAACGATCGAGTTGTCATTGGAAAATTTCAGGAAGTGAGCTTCCGGGTCTCATTCTATGTGGCGCCTCAGCCAAAGTTCAATCAAGGGAGGGTGCGGGGGTGCGCCTTTTGTTGTTGCTCGGAAAGCGCCCACCTGCCCATCCCAGTTTGAGAAGAAATTTGTTTTCGAGCTTGTGCCAAGCCCTTGGCCTGAGAAGAGACATGATTCCCCGTTTGCTCACAGAAGAAGAAGAAGGGAGGGCATTCTTGAGTGTTTAAATGTGCATGAGACCAAACGATGAAATTACAGAAACTTGCTTGATGGACTACCTCCTTTGCTGGAATGATTTTTGTTGCTTTTCAATGTTTTTACATAAGGATTCCTGTGAAGAACGTGCGCGCATACTTTTGTGACATTTTTGGAAGGCTTAACGATCAAAGAGATAGTGACAAGTAAAAGGCTTGATCAAAAGGAAAAACAAACAAAAGGAATGAAATTTGTTCGACACCTCAGTGTTCTGTTTTCCCAGTTCTCTTTGCGTCGTGTTTTTTTTCCGCTGCTTTCCACTTGTTTTTGCCAATGCCCGGTTCTTCTCTACCGCCATGCGCGCATTTGATCCACCTCAACACAATGTGATCTGCACGATTAAAGGAGTAGTTTGGGGGTTTTGCCAAATTTTTTGAGGCGTTCAGAGGTGATGTCCACTTCAATAGGCGTTGCAACAGTTGGTTTCAACAGAGTTTTTCGTCCGGAGTCCAGAACCAATCTTTTTGCAACAGCTGATGGTTTGTCATTAAACGCAGTGGATCAGTCAAAATGTCGTTGATAAGCACGAATCTTGTGCACTTGACCAACTTGCACGTTTATATTTCAATTGGCTGGTGATGATTGGCTTTCAGCTTGCAGGCTGCCAAGAACCAAAGGAACAAGTCCACAGCACCACAACACAGTGATCAATCATCATCAGTTCAGATTAACCTTCACCCCATGAGTGATCAATCTGAAGCTTAGCATGTTAGTCGAAATGTGTTCCAAATCAACCTTTCCATTTAACACATTTGGACTAACATTGAACAGATCCGTCTCGTTTGGCCTTCTTGGGGGACCACCTGAGTGGTCAACAACCCCATGATGCTGAAGTAAGTTGATGAAGTCATCGACTCCTTTTTGACTACTGCCCTGTCCCCCGCAACTCGTTTCCAAATCTCCTCAAGACTGCTTTGTGGATCCTTGTGGTTTCGGCCAGTGAAGAGTTGCCAGATATGTCGGAAGCGCTCAAGTTTTCTTGGAGTAAGAAATCAGCTGCTTGGCCGGATTGTGAGGTAGGTTTGTTGCACGGCAATCCCGTGAGTATGTCGTGCCTGGTACGTTCATGTCAGCGTTTCCTACAACTTTGTATCGCATGTGGTGACCATTAAGATTCTGGTTGTAGTTGGGACAATCTTTAGCCAAATTTGCAATCTATGTTCTTTCAAATTATATACATATCTCTAATTAGCGAGGGTGCCTATTTCCTTCCAAAACGACTCTACCGATGGAGAAGGGTCAACAAATGATGGAGAGTGGCTGGTGTGAAGTCAGAGGACTTTCGACAACCCGACCTCCTCCCTGTACACCTCCACGCTAGTTGCCATCCCATGGCTTCGGGTGGATCGCAGTCCTCAAAATGTTTGAAGACCTTCAACTCTAATCCTTTGCCGGTGCACTGTTCACCACCGAGGCCGGTGCCAAGCCAGCACCCCCGCTGGCGGCCGGCAGCGGGCTCACGATCGCGCAGGAGGCGGCGCGGAACGAGGACCCGTCGGCGGGGCCGCGGACGGCGGAGGAGGAGGAGAAGCAACGGAAGCGCCTGGAAGCATGGAAGAAGATGCAGGCACAGCAAGAGAAGAAGGATGAGAAGGCGCAGGAGCTGAATATGGGTTTTGGATCCTTTTGGTCATACCTATAGATTTTCATTAGGAATGCAGTTTTTGCCATACCTATGATTTTTGGTTCTACGTATGACATATGAAAACACGCGGTGTTAATGGTTCTTCATCCGCTATTGGCACCTCGGCACGTCGGCACGTCGGCCGAACATTCGGGTCCGTTTTGAAACCCTGGAGGAGTCCAAAGAGACGACTGCGCTGTCCGAGAAGGACCAGATGGCGCAGGTGCGCGCTGCCTTGAAGGAGGTGAATCAACGGAATCGCGACCTAGGAGCGGGAGGGGCGGGGATCTGGAGGATAGGAGATGTAGGAGATGGGAAGAATCGGAGTCGCTTGGGAGATGGTGAGTCCGAAGTCCGAAGTCCGTTCGGAGACCTGCTCGGGGTGGCCAAGGGGGTCAATGAAGGAAAGCCTTCCAAGCAAATTGAAAGCATCTTCCTGGAGCAAAAGACATGATTCGTTCGCCACCAGGTGCCGTGCTCCCCCCCGCGTTTGTCCCACCGCGTCGGGGGTCGCCCTTTTTGGGTCAGAGCCGACTCGGCGCGGGCCGACTCGGCGCTACCTGGCCAAACGACGAGGGCCGGGTGTTCCTCGGCGCCCGCGCGGAACGAGGAGTCCGGAAGAAGAAGAAGCGGAAGAAATCCAGCTCAAGCTCCAGTGAGGTGACCGGATGGGGCAGGGCCGGATGGGCCGGATGGGGCGAACGGAGGACCAGGTCTCCATCGGGGGACACGTGTCGCTGAAGCGCGGTGTGAGGGCGACCCTGCGACGTGCCGTGTGGCTGGACCACCACTTGATTTCATGGGTTGACTCCCGAAGAAACATTTTTTTTGCTATAAGTATTTGACACTACAAACACCAGGTCAACCCAATATTTTCTACATGGCCTTGGAAGGCTAGTATAGAAATGACGCCTTCTTCCAGATGGTCCCCTTGCACCCCATCTTTTGCTGCTTTGGAGGTCCAATGGTCTCGCGCTTCGTTTTCTTTTGCGTCTCCAAACCACACCTCATCTCGTTCCGTGCGCTTCGTTTGTATACGTCTCGGTCCATCTCCCCACCGTGGCCTTCGCTCAGGTGCTCATCACCTCCACGGACAATGCGGACGTCCTCATCACCCGCGCCGACGCCTCCGGCGCCGCGGCGCAGCGGGCGCGCGCGGCCGCGGCGGCGAGTGCGGGGACGATTGACCTGGAGGAGGAGGCGGTGCCGGAAGCGCCGGTGCAGCCGAAGGAGCGGAAGGAACCGGAGGTGGAAAGTGAAAAGGAAGAGGAGACGACCTTTCTGTAGAGGAAAAAGAAGGAGGGAGGGAGGGGGGTGAAGTCGTGAAGGGTGGGATGAACGGAAGGAGGTGGTGAAGGCCGAAGGCGGCGGCTTGTTGAATGACTCTGAAACTTCGGCCACAGGATGTTGGACTGAGATGCTTCCCTGCAGAACACCATCGGACGTAATTTTTCATTGGAGGGCATCCCGAATCCCTCAGTATATGCAATGAGACCAAACGGTTTGATGAGTGCTTCAGCGACCAGCAGGCAACACAGACCGTGGGATATTCCCAGGTCTTATGCCTTATGAGGTGTGTGTTGCCTCATTGTAAATCAAATGCAACCTGCGATTCTGTCTTTAGGTGCTCTTCGCAGACCGTGATATGTGCCAATGGGGCTTCAAGAAGCATTGTTCTTGATGTGAAATTGGGACTCCGGAGACTCCGGAAGAGTCCATTGACCCTAGTAGGAGTCCTGCTTGACTATTTTGCCCCGCTGAAGAAGACGGGAAGATCCTGCTTGACGGGTCATCTGAAGGCCCATTCTGACCATAGTCTTGGGACCCTCACAGTTTGGTCGTGAACATGGAGCACGTGGGTTCATTGGCCTCTTCGTTCTTTTTTCGAAGGCCCAGAAAAAAGCTGCTCGTTCGGCCCCGAATTCGCTGCAGCTCCTTGAGTTCGTCTTTCCAACCCCTGCGAAATCTGCACAAAGGCCTGCGATATCGGCCGATGCCGTGAAAGCACAGTGATTTTGGGAGGCCATTTGGCTCAGTGTTGCTGGTAGTTGAAGTGGGACCATCCAGGTAGTGTACTTTTGAATATAGCAAAGCTTGGGGAATCACAGGGTGAGACCAACAAGTTGTTAGAAGTAATCAGCATACTGAAGGTGATTGCTCCTCTTGCATGCAGTCCTGTCCTGGAAGCTTATTTTTTGGACATTGGCAGTGCCGTCTGATTGTGCCGCTCTCGACCGGTGCCATGGAGCAATGTCGAGGCAGAGCGACCTCAGCCGGGTGGTGTGGAAAGTTCCGTCGAAGCAAAGAGTAAACCGATGGAGCACTGGACCTACTTGACAAATCGTGAGAGGGGCGCCCTCTCTTTTTTTGGATCTCGGAAAGAGGAGCTTTCTTGTGGGTGTTTTGGGCTACTAGATTTGGGATGCAACCCAGATGCTTTTCGATAGAGTCCCTTGCCGAAAGTACGAACCAAGATCATACAGCATACACATGATATGCCTCCAGCAGTTCCAATGTTCCATGCACTGGATGGGACCAAACACCATTCCAAAGTGGAACAGTTTGAGCGGATTTCACCCCACCCGGAGGTCGGACGGAGTCGTCAACACAAGCTGTGCCGTGCTGAAACCAAAGGTCCACAGTCCACAGACTCGAAAAAGCCAGGATGTCAGCTATTTTCCACTTGGCAGGTCAGATTATCAGATCCTATGAATTCTTCAGATTCATCAGAGGAGGTTTCTTCTTTGTCTTTTTCAGATTCGTCAGCCTTTGTCAGGATCACCCTCCAAATCAAGCAATCGCACGCCGCAGCAATTTCACAGAAGTCATGACTCTTGAGGAAGTTAAGTGAAAATCGTTATTTCACAAGCGTTAGGTCTGATCCTTCTGGTCCAGACCTCTTCAACGAAGTCTGGGAGTCCTTCAAAAAGGCCCTGTGAAGTGATTCCAACAGAGCAGTTCTTCTAAATCCGATCCTTTGCTCCTGCAGACTCAACATCGAGTGTTTAAAGAGTTGGCCCCAAGATATGATCATCAATGTGTCATGTGCATCACATGATCAAACATCATCTACCCAGCCTGGCAGTTGTGCGTCCATTTGTCCGGCTGGGGTGGAAGTCCTTTCCTCCCGCCGATGTGGGGCCCGACGCCGGCCCCGACGCGATGCCCCAGCACCGCTCCGCTGGTGCACCGGTGCCGGCGCCAAGCAGCCGCCGCCGACCGCGTGGCACCGCTGCGGCGCTTACGGCGCGGTGCGGCGGGCGTGGTGGGAGAAGTGGTGGTGAGGAGGTGCCACTTGCATTCAAGGGCGGGGCGGAAGTGGCGAGGGAATGGGAGAGTTGTGGTTGCGGTTGTCCTTGTGCCGTGCTGGTAACTGGTGCTGGTGGCCTTCATTGGCTGCATGGTATTTCTAAGCAATCTGCTTAGGGGTTGGTGGGACCAAAAGACCCCAAGTGGTGGTGGGACCTCCATCGTTCGCGGCGGTGAGGCCGAGCAAGACTTGGCCTTTATCGCCCGAAGAAAAAACACACAAAAAACCCCTGGTGTGTGTGCCCACGTGCGCGCATGGTGTTTTTTTGTTGAGGCCTCCGGCACTTCGAGTTCCAAGGGCGTAGGTCGGCACAGCTCGGGGGCTGGCGCGGTGTGGTGGAGGAGAGCGAGCTGGACACGCCAGGAGCCCGGACGGCTGGACACGGCGCCGTAGCGGACGCGGCGACGTATGCGGATGCGGTTTTGGATGGATGTTTTCAGAGGCAAACCCAGTGGCCGGATTCACACAACAATCCGAGAATTCTCGAATGGAATTCAATGTTTGACACTGTGGTTTGAAGTTGTTGGCGAATCTCCTGGGACTTCTGGGTAAACACATTCTTCCACATTCTTCCAGCCCTGATTTCTGGGCACTTTCCCACAGCCCAGGCACGTTGAGATGGACATGCCAGGCCAAGCATCATTATTTTTGAAAAGAACCATTTTCTCCGAGCATCGCAGGTCCTGGCGCATCTCAGCTCCGAACCCCGAAAAAGGGAGAAGAGCAGGTGAAACGAGGGCCTCCTCCCCCCCCCCAAACAAAAGCACCATATCATCTTCCATCGCTGCTTCCCCTGCTTACCCTCCTTACCCCCCCCGGCGACGTCCTCCGGACCCAGCAGGAGCCGGCCGCTCGCGGGTCCTCTGCCTGCGCGGCCTCTGTCCGCCGGCCACGGCCTCCGTGCTGCGCGCGGCGCTGGAACGGGCGCCGGAGGCCTTCGTGGCGACGGCGGACTCGGTGGACGAGGGGCCCAGCTTCGAGTTCAACCCGCTGTGTCGAGGCAAGTGGCAGGAGTGCGGGGCCGGGAGCAGCTGGGGAGGGAGGAAGATGGAGGACGGGAGATGGTGGAGAAACTCTTTCTGTTCTTTTTCGTTGTTTTGGTGTGTTTCTTGGGATGCTCAACCACTAGTGTGCACTGGGAAGGTCTCCTGATCGCTTGCTCCTTTTTTTGAGGTTCTGGTGGATGCTCACGACTGGGTCACCAGCTGTCGTTGACATTGGAGTGATCACCCTCATCTCAAGACACCACTGAGTCCCCAGTTTAGCTCGAACCACTGCAGGTTCGACAAGCGCAACTCATCCAATTCTACTCACACCAGATGTGCTGTAGTCCGTAGACCCAGGTGAATGTCTTCGTTGATTCAAGTGGGTTGTCGTTTAACGGGATCTAAGAAAAAACATGTCCAGGCCACCCTGGGTTTGACAAGCCAACCTGCTCTCCTCCACTGCCCAACCTTGACACCGCTGTGGCCGTAGCTTCGTCGCAGGACCTGCAGCTGCAGGCGCTGCTGGCGCCCTTCGTCGAAGAGCGCCTGCTGCCGGCGCTGCGAGACGCACTGGAGGAGCCCAATCTGGCGCTCTCCGAGGTGCTGGCGCGCAGGCGGAAGTGAGAAGGGAAGGTGAGGAGGTCAGGAAGGTACTGGGCAAATCTGGGCAAGTGGACACACAGGTTTTCACTCGCTTTGGAAGGCATAGGTTTTCACACAGGCACTGGATGGAGTGACTTGCCAAAGGTACTTTGGAACTTCCAGCCCTTCCGCGACATCTCAGACATGTCAGCGGGCCACCGGGCCACCGGGTCTGCTTTTTGGAACAAGTCACCGGGTCTGAGTGGACCGACTCCAGTAGAACCGACTCTGAAGCCGAAACAGCCTAACAGGACCCCTCCCAACCAGAATCCACTCCTCCCACCAGGACCTTAAAACCCCTATAGCGACCTATTTTTGGAGTGTCTCTTTTTTCAGTGACCTCTTAAAAAAAACGGCAACAACCACCCCCCCCGAAAAAACCAACAGAACCAGAAGGTCACTGATCACCCAAACGACACCAGCACGCGACTTCACCTACGCCTTCGCCTGCGGCGCTCTGACAGGTACGCGCCGGGCGAGCGCCGGGGCCACGGGGTGCACTACGACGGCCACGCCTACGCCACGGCGGTGCTGGGCCTCTCCGAGCCGGACGCCTTCCGCGGAGGACGGGGGCGGTGGCAGGGAGTGGGTCGGTCGTGGGGTGGTGGCGAGAGTGAAGGGGGAGGACGCAAGGGTTTTTCTGTTGAGATGTGGTCAAGAAGAGGCTCGTAGTTGGAGTTGTGTATATACAAATACACAGATTTCTTTCTCTTTTTTCCATATGCTTTGGTCAGATTTGTGATATCACCCTGAGTGAAGATGGTGAAGCGAAACCACCCAAATGAACAAGAAACAACAGCAGTGCTGCAGGATGCTTGTGTCTGAAGCAATCCACGTGAATGAATTCGTGGCGCTCCTACACGAAAGCCACTGCAGGACTCTATTTGCAGCCGGAGCCCGCAGTGGAGTCACGACGCTTGGGAGAGGAATCACGTCTTCGTCTTCTTTGTGTTGATAAAACAGGTGCAGCCAGTCGTGCAAGGCTCAATGACTTGAACTGAAGAAGAAAGGAGAACAGCCGGAATCACAGCTCATGTGCTAGCTGCCATTGTCCTTTTTTTTTTGTTTTCAGGAGACCAGAGATGGCTGACCTGATGGTGAGTTCTGTGTGGATGGGGGTGGGTTCGTTTGGAATGTCTTTTCTTTTCGCGTGAATCGGTGAATTCTTTTCGATGGAACCTCAGCACTGAGCACTTGAGCTGTCAACTTGGTTTTTGGGAACTGACTTCCCAGCCCGTCCTACCTTTCTGCATGAGCATGGCATGACCGGACCGGTGCGTAACGCTTCTAGCGCTTCTGAACTGGTGGTGGAGCTCAACCTAGACAACCACCAGTTTTGGGATTTGGGTGTTCCAGTATGTTGTTATGTCATCTTATGTCGTTGTGATAAGGACCTTCAAATATATTGAACATCAAATTTCCTCTACACACACACATGCCTCGCAAGCTGCAAGCTGTTCTGATCTGAAAATTTGAGACCACGGCATGAATTCCATCAGTTTGTCCATGTCTTTGACCCAAAAAGTCCGAAACAGACCCAGGGCCCACGGCTAGGACCTTCATTTCATGACCGGTGTTTTCACCACTCGAGCCCCTCGCGTTTCTTTCTTCACTCCGCGCCGGACGACGAGGACGTTTCTGCGATCTCACTCCGGGCGACGTGCTGTTGCATCGCTTCGACTTGCAGCACGGCGTGGAGGTCTTCGAGGCCGTCCGACCGACCCGTCTGGCTGACCGTGTGTCGTTGGTTCCGCGCGTGGGTGGGGCGTTGGGAGGTTTGTCTTTTGAGAGACTTGGAGTGAGTGAGCCTGAGGAGTGCGAGCTTGAGGTTTGTTGGGCATGTAAGATGTAGGCAGCCTGTGGGCACGTGGAAAGAATTCAGACTTCCAGCTTCTTCAAACGTGACCTTTGGAGGGTCCCTTTTGCAGCCCTTATAGGGGCCCTGGTCCCTTTTTCAGTGACCTGGGTCACAGCTCGTGGTCCGTGGTCTGCTGGTTCAACCCTGGGTCACAGGGACCCTTCAGAAGCAGGGCTCCGGTCGGGAAGGTGATCATTTTTCAGTCTCCTGGAGTGGTGATGCCCAAAACCCATCCGTCGCCCGGCTCGGCTCGTTGCCCTTGGGCAGCTCAGTAGCCCCAAGCGTCCCGCGCCAAAATGTCCACCAATTCCTACCACAGGCTCACAGGGGTCAATGATTCTACTATTCACATCAAACAACTTCATAGCTTAAACCCTGACTTAATTTGTCCTTTTTTCCCTCACCTACACCGCGTGACCGAGCACGTCGTCACCCCCCACGGGCCCCTTTTTGGGCGGCCAAAAGCGCGTGAACTGGTGGATGTTTCACCTTGTTTCACCGTTCCACAAGGTGTTTTGGCCGTTGAGGGCCTTGGCCCCGGGCCCTTGGGGGGGGCAGTGTGTGGTTGAGACATGTTCATAGTGATGGAACGCAGCACAAATCAATTTCCACCAGTCGGGGCGGTGTTTGGAATCCCTTTCGAGCCCAAAGGGGGTGGGTGGGGTGGTAAGCACGACTCATGAGCCAGCCATCTCTTCGAGTCTCCAAGTTGGTTGGAGCTCACTCCAAAACATCTGACTCCCTATTGCGTGTGATATGTATATATATATATATAATTTTTACTTGTTTGGGTGATTCTCTTGGTGTATATATTGGAGCCACTCTCAGCCACTCCACTCCAGTCTCTTTTCCTTTCGCCCTCTCGCGTGACCGTGTCTTGTCGGGTCTCCAAGTCTTCTTCGTCAGGGCGAGCGCTTGAGCCTCATCTTCTGGTTCAAGGACTCCGCGAACTCCGTCGAGACCGGCAGCACCCCCTGGTACGAGGGCGTCCCCTCGGCGGCAGCGCCGCTCGGTGGAGCTCGGGTCGTGCGGAGGAGGTGGAGTGGAGTGTTGGCACATGAAGCTTTGCCAAGGGAGCTTTAAGAGGGGTCTAGAGTCGCAAGGGGCTTTTGAAGAGAACTACATAATTGTTCATTTTGGCTTCTGGGCAGATTGAAGGCCAGACCTTTTCGGAGGCTTTTGAGCCCACTGGCCGCTAAGCCTGTTCTGTTTTGGTTGAGGCATCTTCATTGATGAAGAAGACAAGTCGGTTCGCGGCTTGAAAGTACGCTTTGGGACTTCTTTCATATGCCGCGCTGCGGCATTTGTCATGAATGAACAGTGCCGCCCCCAACAGATTTTGGTGAATTCACAGATCCAGTTGTGGGAAGATCAATATCGGGTGAACCTCTCAGTTGTTTAAGGTAGCGGACCCGTTTGCAAAGGAGAACTCCTCACAAAACCTGGTGAACCACCCGGAGAACGCTCCGTTCAAGTCTCGTCATCTCTTGGAGCAGCTGGCTTCGGCTGTGTTTGGCTTCGCTCGGCTTGCCGAACTCACGGAGGTCGTCGGGGTGCCCATGTCACATCCGATGGGACTAACGACCACCACCCGAGCTATGTGACTCCTGGATTGGAAGGCTCTACAATCTTGGAGTTCAGTACGAACTGGGCCTTCATGGCAAGGTGCGGGCGGGAGCAATAGACCTGTGTGACCTGGGACCTGTAGGCGAAAGCAAATGAGTACGAAGGGAGATGTGTAACGCTTGACTGGTAAGAATCGATGGCTCTTCGGAATTCGGAGCTCTCAAACGTGGGGTGTAGGAGTCGTTCTTCCCTTCCGAGACGATCGCAAGAGACCATTTGCACAAGAGGTCAAACGGATCGCAAGCACTTTTCAACGGAAAACCCGAGCCTTTGGCCGTCAGTGAGGCTATTGCTGGGTGGTTCGGCTGAAGAACGGACATCCAACCAGCGAAGTACTGTCGTCACAAGAGATTCGAAGCTTGTCCAGAAGGGGCATATTGGATTAGCTTCCTTTTGGCATGACTCTGATTCTATGCAACACAGCTTTAAAGCACGTCGACTTAGTCTACTTAGTGCTCCAGAGTCAATCGGAGTCCTTGAGCTGGTTCTGGGAACTGATGTCACTCAGTCCAACCCCTCCCCCCCCTCCGTTCCTCATTTCTCTCGTCTGGCTCTGCGCCGCGCTCCGTTCCTCATCGTCTTCCAGGCGCTGGACGTCGCCCAAGCACGCGCGCACTATCGGCGGTCCGCTGAGTTGGGGCACTGCTCTGCCATGAACAACTTGGCACTCTTGGAGGAGGACGTGGAGGCGAAGCGTCAGTGGAATGCTGGCGGGTGAGGTGATTTTTGTTGAATTTTCGAGACCAAAGTAGGGATGCGCCTTCCTTTTTTTGCTATAAGACTGTTTTTTTGAGTCTTCCGTCTTCCTGCAATCACATTGTTGGGGATGTCGAAAGCCTTTACTTCCGAATCGATGATTTCCCAGCTCCTCCTGGAACTAGACCTTCTAAGAGCCAAGGAACCCAGACTCTTTCCATCCCCGTCGAAGCGAGTGGTCAGGCTGCGGAGCGCTGGCTCCGCGCCGCGGCGCGGCAGCGCCACGGCCCGGCGATGCTGAACCTGGCGCTGCTCCTGTGTCCCGGCGGACCGGGTCTTGTTGGGAACGACGTTTGGGGGGTGGGGCATGGGTTGGTTCGTGGGGTTGTCCTTTGGTGGTTGGGGTTGATGAGGTGGAAAGAGGGCCGGGAGAGGGGGTTTCCGAGCGAAGCGGCGCCTGGACCCTGCAGATGCCAGAGAAGATAGAAGAATGCCCTCAGAATCATCAAAGATGTGATGCTCTAAGACCCAAGGTGACGGGTTCGGACGGGTTCGGACGACGTGCCAAGGAGGTGCCGCAACCGTTCGACAGTTGCGGCCCCTGTCAGTTCGCATACGAACCGTGCCCTTGTCTCAGGTTGAGTCGAGAGACGTTGGAGACGAAGGAAGCGGCAGAATGGATGTGCCTCGGAGGTTGTTTTTGGCAGGATGATCGTTTTCTTGGAGAGCCAAGTATTTTGGGGGTATACACCATCAATACGAGCATCAAGGGATGTCGTGTATCCCTCATGGCATCCTAAACGCCGTATCAGTCATCAGAGGAAGAACAGCATGAAAGATCACGACTTGTCGGTTGCTATTTGGACTTTCTGTCAGATCCAGAGGGAAAACCACTTGTAGATGTCGAAGACACCTGTGTGAGGTCTTCTTTTGAGAGATCTCTCTCTCTCTCTCTATATATATATATATATATATGGTACCACCCCCCTAAATACACGCTGTTTTTCAGCCAAACAGAATTGTCTTGCCTTGCACCAATCCATTGATTTCAAGGCCCTACAATTGGCTTGCATTGGCTCCCACTGAACATGAACAGGATAGACTACTGAGGAGGCCAGGTGACCCACACGGAGAACATAGGAGGTCTTCCGTCCTCCTGAGGAGGCCCACCCAGTGCAATCCAGCAGTTGGGTGGTTTATTGGATGGAACATACATCTTCAAGAGGGGGGGTCAAACCAAACCCACCCGACCGGGAGACTGGGTGGTGCTGGATGTTGACACCTGAGCACGACCTTTGATCGATATAGACGACCTGGTCTTGCATCTCCAGGCGCCACCGAAGGGTGGTGATGCAAAAAAATCATCAACAGTCTACATACCCTATAGGGATCCAGTCGTACCTTCTCAGGCTAGGTGAGGACGGAGACACCGAAACATGTAGGTGCCAGGAGGGTCCAGTCGTACCTTCTGAGGTTCGGTACGACTGGATCCCCTAGGGATAAATATAACAAGAGTCTACATTGAGTATCATTTGCGTAGCCTACGTTGGAGTTGATGTTTGTTTATGAAACACCCTACATGTCTGTATCCTACAGCAACAAAGGATTTTACACGACAAGACCAGGTCTGTCGCATGTTTGAAATGGTCCAAGCCCCCTCATCTCCGAAAAATGGTCTTAGATCCCCAGGTGCCACGGGGGGGGATTTTATTGAATCAACAGCTTCTGCATGTATCTCGGACTATTCGGGCGAGTCCCATTCATTGGGTCTCGTACAGAATTCACAGCTTCTGCATTTGGACATTCACTTTTTGTAGGTCTGTCCCATTTTTAAACTGGTCAAACTGAAGGTTAGGGAATCGAGTTCTCCTTTTGAAGCTCACGGACCGGTTCACGCCGGGTTCCTTTCCTCCCGAACGGAGGCGCTCAGCGGCTGCGAGCGAGCCCAAAGCGGCCTTCTACCTGGGCGACATGTACGAGCGCCTGGGAGCAAGTTGTTTTTGTTTGGAATTTCGGTGGCATGGGAGTGAGATTGGATGTTGACAAAAAAGACTAGAGGGGAGGTGCCCAGGCATCGCTGCGGGAGGATAGCTAACCCTGGCCAAGTTCTTGAGTTGGTCGATGCAGCTTATGAGTTGAAACAGCACCTGATGGAGTGAAGCCCCAAGTCGTCCATCCGTCGCCTGAACATTTTGAGGCACCCTCCCCTCCCTGTGTCATGGGGTCAAATCCAGGTCCCGGATCCCTGTTGGGAACCATGGGAAGGTTCCCCCGTGTTTCTTTGGGAAGTCACCGGCCAAGAGTGGCAGACTGGGAACGAACAGATCCCACGAGGCCCACCAGGCCCAACCTCCACGTCTGTCAGGCGCGGCCTGGCCGGACTCCAAGACGAAGATGCTGCCGAGGAGTGGTTCCAGCGCAGCGCGGAGAGGCGTGGGCTCCATTTCCGGGGCCAAGAGTTATATAGTGAACTTGGGAAGTGAATTCATTTTCTCGGCATGATCCATCAGTCTTTGAACGGCACTTCAATCTCCAACGGTTTTCTCACCATCCCCAAAGAAGAAAACACCTCAGACAGGTCACCTGGGTCCCACTTCTTCCTCCCAGTTCCTTCCACTCCTCTCACTCCACCCTAGGGGCTTCTTTCCGGCGCTCACACGCCTGGCGCGCCGGCGCTGGCAGCAGCAGCGCTACGCCGCGGCGGCGGAGCTCTACGCGGCGGCCGCCGCCGCGGGGGACGCCGAGGCGGCGAGGGGGGTCACCGCAGCGGGGGGGTCCGGCATCGGCCGCGCGGGGGTCCGTCTCGGACGTCTCAGCCGTCTCAGACGATGAAGTCACTGGAGGCGACGACCCCTTTGGGGGAATTCTTCCTTCTGGTTGAAGCAAAAAGCCAAGCACAGTTCATGGTTGTTTTGGGGTGGTGAATTTTTCCCACCACAAGTGCTGTTTGCCGCATTCGTTCGGTTTCACGGACCGGTCCCACCAGGTCTCGTGCCGTCGGTGAATTCCGTAAAGGATTTCAAGCAAGGCATATTGGAAGAAGCAGGACTGTTTCTGGTTGGGACGGGGTTTTCCAGGTAGGTCCTAGGTTTTGGGAAAGTTTTGGACCAGTTGATTTCCCTTGATCCGAAAGATTGGCTTCGATGCCCCTGGAATGCCCGGCTGGGTGCGGAGCTCCTCTTGGCTTCCGGCGGAGCTCCAGCTCTGGCATGGTGGCACGGTGACCCGAGGGAGCACAGTAAGACCGGCAGCGTGGGAGCCAGGCACTGCAATGCCTGGCGCTCCCCGAGCTTCAACCGTGGAGACCCAGCCAGGCTGAGTCAGCTCTGGAGGAAGAGGGGGACCGGAAGGGAAGGGCCTGGAGGAAGAGCCGCTTCCGGGGCCTGGAGAGATGGAGTTTTCAATGGTCACCAACAGGACCACTTGGATGCGAAAGCGTGAAAAGCATCAAAAAGTGCGGTGGTGAAGCTGGATGGAATACGGACTGGGGATTTGGGTGGTTTCCCTTGCTGTTTCCTTCAAAGCGAACGCTGAAGGATGGGACGGACGACTGCTGTGAAGACTCTTGCGGACGCTGCGAATCCGTAGCGTGAAATGCTTGGGACGCGATCTCCCCATGTTCCACCAGACGATCTCGGTGTCTCATTGTCATGATGTCCTTTAAGCCAGACGCGACATCATGCGACTCTATCGGCACAGGTTTTTTAGAAATGAGTTTGGTGGGCAGACGCTCGCTCGCTGGTGGATGGTGGATGGTCCTCTGGTGGGATGGTCACCATTCATTTCGTTCATCCACCGGCCTCGTGACCCTTCTACCCTTCTTTTCGTGGAAAGGAGCTGGATGAGGAAGCTGCCGGCGCGGTGGGCTTCGGCTGAAAAAAGGTCACGGGACGGGTCCAACAGCAGTGCATGGACGTGTCGGGGCGGTTCCGGGGACTCGGGGACTCGGGGTTCGGGTCTTGGACTCGTCAATCGCGGATGGTTTGGGATGAAGCGGCAGAGGCCTATGGATGGAGGATGGAAGGATGGAAGGAGATTCTGCTTCTTCTGCTTCTTCTCCTGCTAAACGACTGCTCCCTACAGCTGACCAGAACCTTGCCCTTTCCCTCGGCCCAAACTGCAGGTTTGACTCCAAAAAATACCACCTCCGATCCAAAGGGTCGGTTCACCTCTTTCCTCCCCCCCCCGAAAAAAAGGGGAGAAACCGCCTTTTCGGTGTTTTTTCACGAAGACTGACCTCGCACCTCGCACCTGTTTGTCCCTCCTTGTTCTTCTTCTTTTCGGCCTTGGCCAAAACGAGAAGCCACCGAAGCACCGGACTGTCTCCAGGGCCATCGGCATCGCCTGGGCACCCGGGCCATCGGGGAGGGTGTTGAAGGACGCTGGGTGACACCGGAGGCGAAGGAACTTTCATTGGGTTTCACCAGTGTACGTATGGGTGACCATAGTGAGTGTGGGATTCGATGTGCGGAACAAGACCAGACTTACGGCTTCCGTGACCCCACTGCCATGGCAGAGATTCTTCCCAAGACTTGCTTGCGCGAGCTTCTACTTTCTGTTGTGCAGCACCTCTCTGGACCCAAGGTGTCCACGCGAAATGATGAAGTGAGTCCAGGTCCTGCATCAGATCTCATCTCCTAAAATGGGCACACCCCACACCTGGTTAGAGTATACTTCGCCATGTTCCCTGCAGTGCCACTTCTTGTGTTTGTAAAGAATCTCAGTTATGGAACAACCGGAACTGTTTCTTTTCTGGTTCTTTTGGATTTCTAGGTGCTTTCTTCACCAAGCTGTGGCTCTTCGGTTATACGGTTATATAATACCTTTCATTACCTTTCGAAGTTTGAAGTCTTTCCAAGTGAGTCCTCAAAGAGCCAGACCTGCGGTTGTTCTTCTCGTCCTTTATTCGGCCTGTGGTGATGGGATACGTCAGAAAGAACCATCCATCATCTCCCAAACCTCCCCTACAACCCCTCTCCGCTGTGCCGGCCCGATGTCTTCCAGCCTTCCAGCCGCTCCTTTTCCCGCCTTCGTGGTCCCCCCCCTGCCGTGCCAAAAGCACCGCGGTGTCCTCCGACCCAAGCGAAACGCTCGCTCACACCACCGCGGCGGAAGGACGTCCGAACTGCCTCTCGGCCGAACGCGACCGAGCCCACCGGCCGACACCGAGGTCGGCGATGCGTCGGGCTCCGGTTCCATCGAGGACGCTGACTCGAGCCGCCGCGGTCCGAGACGGGGACGGGGGACGGGCCGTGAGGAGGGGGTCCCAAGGGTGGGATGACTTAGGTGGTTTGGAAGATGGGAACTGTAGTGAAATCTGCAGACCGTGGGATTCGAAACATGAACTAGCAGCTCACCCTGCCCGAATTCACCAGCATTTCGGCCTGAGCCTGAGCATGCTGTGAAGTTCAAAAAACAACTCCCTGGGAGTCAAAGACTATCAAAAGAATGGTCTTTAGGTGACCCGAAAAGGAATATGCTTTACTTCAGTGGGGAAACATATAGTCTTTGGACTTCTAGCGAACTAGCAGCTCAGTAAATATATAAAGAAGGCGCACCAGTCACCAGTCGCTCGTTTGGACTTCGCCACCGGGTGCCTGTCTGCGTAACTCGTCCTCAAGTCGGCGAGGAGGAGCTCAGCTACTCCGGCGATGCGGTTGAGGTGCTCATCTTGCGATGCCGTTCGAAGGGGTCAGTGTGCCTACTCAGTGTTCTCCCATTCGACTTCCAAGATTCAAACAAGTGGGACAGACCTGGTTTTAACGTCTTTTAGTATGTCTTAATAGTGTAAACTCTTTAGGAAAAGAATGTAAAACAATGGTTATTTGGTAAAGCCTATTAAGTTGATGGTGGTTGGAAGCCTAGGGTTCTTGAATCCTATTCCAAACATATCGTGTTTTCTGCAGTTGCTGGCAACGGCAGAATGCCAGCCCATCGTGTCAATGCATGGTGGATGATGCTGGAACAGTTCACCCTGCAGCGGTTTCTGACGAGGGACCTGCTGGTTGTTGTTGTTCCGCTTAGGACGAAGCAGTTGTAGGCTGGGCGGTGACTCCGGTGGCATGCGGAAACGAAACACATCAACTTCATGTCCCAACTCCCCAGAAGCCACATGGTTAGCAGTTAGTGGCACTTGCTGGGAAGGGTTAAAGAGTGTTCATGCAGTGAGTCGCAACCACCAATGGCGGGAAGCTCAGCATGAGACGAAGCTTTTCGGCCAGGAGAACTACTCTGAGGATTTTGATGACCCAGGTGCTCAGGGGGTTGCAGAGGGAGCTGAGGGATGCTTTTTAAGATCGGAAACGTCGATGCACCTGCAAAGGGGTGCCCAGCCCGAGATGATGTTCGATTTCGTCTTCCACTGGTGTGCAGTGGTGTTGTGTGGTCGGGAGCCTCTACAGATATATCCCTTTCAATGTTGGAACTCACTTGGTGCGAAACTCACAGCTGACACATGGGACGAATCCCCTCCTTCCCTTCGCCCAAACGTGGTGTCTGTCTTGAAGCCTTGGGGAAGCCCCTGGTGGTGAACCTGCGTCTTTTTCCTGAAGTCCTCTGAATCTGTGGGACGTTGATCCTCAAGTTCACCACGGATCCTGGACTGTTGACGCGACGTAGGCGTTACGGCGTCCGTGCCGGTCGGCAGGGTCACAAGAAAGTCCGACGCAGAGGCGCGCGGCGGCGGGAAGTCTCCGGCAACACGGCGGGCCGGGCCGGGCTCGTCTTCCGTCAGGAGCAATGCAATGAGCTCTGTAGGCCTGTATAGAACTCCAAAGTCACTTTTATCTTGTCCAGAACTGATACAAGACACCTAATTCGAGTCAGAATGTTTAAGTGCTTGCATCCAGCACTCAGCTTGGTCTCTCCGTTTCAGCCTGTTTTAGACGACTCCCTCAGGGCCAGCACTCACTCTTCAGTGCCCCAGTGGTGGAAGATCCAGTCACGGGAGCACTGAGTGGTGGGCCAAAACCTCCAACTATGACTGGATCCTCCAAGACCTCACATGCCTGAGTGGTTACTATGACTGGTTTCTTTAACTCAGAGTAACGGGACCCTCTACCCTAGCCTTACACTCGACGATTGTAAGAAAGGTCGACCTGGTGTTGTTATCTTTTCAATCCGTATAGTTAAAACAATTGCTGGCAACGGCCAGACTTTTAGTCACTCTTAGTCTCCAAAATTGGGCCAATTGGAACGCTCAGGTTCTCCAGGTTTTTCCAAGAGAGTTTCCACCCCTTGACGAAGAGTACGGAGTGCCTCCAGGAGTGCTGAAGCCGCTTCACGAAGTCTATCACCTCCGTCGCCCGCGGAGGCGGAGGGTGGGGACGAATGCCGAGAGTGGGTGAACAGCGACCTGGGGATGAGGCTTGGTTTAGGGGATCGGGATCTGAGAGACCGACCCTATTCCACAAACATGAGAGGCATTATTATAGATGTTACAGGTGCGCACCATGAGGATGAAAGCTCGAAATCCGCTTCTTCTGATTGAAGATAGTCTTCCATCCTCCGATCCCAGGAGCAGGACTACTCGCGCTCCTCCGCGCAGCAGCACGAGTCCAGCGCCAGCATCGCCAGCGCGGCCAGCGCTGCCAGCGCCAGCGGGCAGAGCTACACCGAGGACTTCGACGAACCGTTGGCCACCTCCAAGTCCGAGGCATGTGGCGGCTGCGGTGGGTTTGGTCAGTATGATGCAATATACCAGCACCTCCTTCACAGTTTTCTCCGAAATGGAGGGTCTCCTGGAAATCAGGGGGCTCATCTCTTTCCCGGCATCTTTTGATCACATGCGTAGCTTGAACGGACGACCCTGCCGACCCAACCGAACTGTTCCACAACAAATGGACCCGGCGTCGAGTTCCACCGGGCCTCGTGTCCCACATGACTGGGCGGAACGAAGCCAGACCCCAGCGGAGCCCAACGAAACCGCGTGGGAGCGGGAGACGGGGGCGCTTCATGGAGCCCCCGCCCTACCCGTCCGAGCCCCCACAAACCATCAAAAACCTGGTTATCCCTAGCAAAACACATGGCTTTTGTATGTGAGAACCTTGGTTTTTTTCATGGTTTGGTTCCGGCCCCTGGTCGAGTAGAGGCTTCCAGTTCCGCCCCGCTGTTCGCTCACACCCAACCCGGCCCGGTGCTCCGGCCCGGTGTGTTCGGCTCCCCCCTTCCGCGACATGGGGAAGCTGCTTCGGGGTGACACCCGCGGCGGCCGTCACCTACTACGGCACTCCTCTCCTCTCCTCTCCTCTCCTCTCCTCTCCTCTCGCTCCACCCCCCGAGGGGGTCGCCGTCGGACGAAGCGTCGACGGCCGGAGGTAAAATCGGAGGACGCACTGCAGGGGAACCCGAGCGAGATTGATGGAGGATCGGTGGAGAGCATCGGTGAAATCAGCGGTTGATCGAAGGAGCAGGAAGCGATGAATCAGAAGGGCCGGTCTCCAGCTGAGAGTGATGCAACACATGCAATGATGAATCACTGAAGTTGCAGGCATGTTCCCCAAGCCAACAAGGCTGACAGGAAGAGGTATAGCGATCAATGACTTTGGACAAAAAGACAAACAAGTCACCCTATATGTTGACGTTACTTTGATAGTTGTACGATGTCCTGTGAATCTTGAATGTTTTCTTGTACCGACTGCACATGACTGCACCACAGTCAAAGCACCACAGTGCACCAGCTAGATGGCGAAATCGCCTTCTGATTCATTTTGGGTGACTTCTTGGTGTTTCAATCGCTGACCCGCTGACCGTTTTTTGCCACGAGTCGCCACTTACTGTGTTTCCCATCGATTTGGAGTGGACCCATCGGCATTTATACCATTTATACCAGCACCGGTTTCCAACAGGTCTCCAAAAGCATGGAGGGTTGGGTGGGAAAGGC